GAGGTGAAAATCATGAGAATTTTATCACATGACCATAGCAAATCTATTGTTACCTCTGTGCTGACGTAGATTTAAAAATAGAGAAGTTATCAAATTACTGAGGTTAACTTCTTTTTAGTATTCCGATTATGAAATGTTGGATTGTCAGGATCTAAAGCATCAGAGATCATTTCGTATAAAACACCTTTTCAGGGTGAAGGTAGTTCTTTTCACCCTTGTATGAAAATTTGCTACAGTGAAAGATATTTCAATAAAAATACTTCGTTCCATGGATATTGCTATTATAGTTATACTTTGGTTGGTCCATATGAAATAGGCCTTTGTTATAAAGTGTGAATACTGTTATACGTAAGCCACACTCCAACTTAAAAATTCGTCGTGCGGACCTAAACACTTTTTGCGTATTAAGTACAACAGTAATGAGAGCGAGGTGAAAATGGCAACTCAAACATAACAAAAAACCACCATCCCAATCCTGCATGCAGTCGGTTCGAGAAAATGTCGTTCCTTGGTGTTGTAAAAAAATACACTACTATTTATAACTAAGAAGCCCTACCCAAGGAGAGTATTATTTGCTGAATATATATAACTTCGTTCCTTTGTCAACTACAAAACGTGGGCGATTATGGCTCTACACAACTTCCTATTCTTTGTAGCACTGTAGGGATGCTATTATTGTTACAAATAAAAATAATAAAAATAATGAAAATTATAAATAAAATAAAGCAATAATATTTAAACCTTGATTAAAATAAATTAAATGAAAAATGAAAATAATAAAATTACTCCCAGTATGCATTAGGGACTGATCCTGCCGCAAATATGGACATCCCGCCAAAAGACGTGAGATTCAATCTCTTCACCCAAGAACTGTTGGGATAACAACACGTGTGTAACTTCCCTCCATGATAGGACTTGTGATATTAAGCAGTAACTTGCTCCCTTTTATAACATAAACATCATCACAATTGTAACGTAAAATACATGCACAAATACATAAATAAAATTGTATGAAATTACCATGCCTTCTCTGTATTTTTCTTGTTTTTATCTTTCTAAAAACAAGCTTAAAATTCTACTACCACTACTGCTATGATGTGAGTGAATATCCCACAGCACTTTGTAAAGTTTGTCTTTTCGTTATCTCTCCCAATCTCTGTTCTTACATCCGTTAATACAAGTTCATTAGCTACGTTAATCACTGTTTCTCTTCTATCCCTCCTGCTTTTAATATGTCCTGTGAGTGCTAAATACTCCAAGCCTTCTTTCCTATGTTCGAGAATTTTCACTTGTCTCTTTCTAAGTATAAGCGTCCTTTTTCTTTCCATTTTCCTTAAAATTTTCTCGTTGCTCACATGTTCTATCCACGAGATTCTCAGCATCCTTCTGTAGAATATCATTTCTATTGCCACAAGTTTCTTCTTCCGCTTTGAGTAGATTATCCAACATTCTGTGTCATAGAGGAAGATTAATATTGCATAAGTAATTAGTACTCTTGTCTTTGTTTCTAACAGAATTTTCCTGTTTCGTAATGCTTTAAATATATTTTCGAAGGTACTTTCACTATTCTGATGAGCCTTCGGATAGTACCGTCCAGAGATTTAAATTTTAGTACTTGATTGATTTTGGTATCTCCAATTTGTAGTTCGCTTCTTGGACTGTTCCTCTTGGTAACAATCATCCATTCCAATTGACGGTTAGTCATTTCTTATCGTTTTCTTTTATTACCTTCTATGAGATTTCCTGAATTTCCTTTCTGTATCTTATCAACACTGTGTCTTCCGCATATATTCTTAAGAATGTGTCCACCAATAATGAATACTGGGAAGACATCCAGTTCTCACAGGATCACCTCGCTGTAAAGTTGGAAAAAGATTCAAGCACTTCGACGAAAGACGAAAAAAAAAAAGGGACATAATATTTTCTTAAATACATGTTTCTCTACTGCTAGCCGAATATCTTGACTCTTCTAATGTAACGCCTTCAGAGTCAATCTTATGCTTCACGGAAACCAAATTGTAATTCTCTACCCTCCCTGGTCGTCCAAGAAGTCTAATACCGCGGCTGATCGATAGAGTGATCTCTTCGACCCTAACCTGCCTTACGCCCCGTTGTGATTTGGTTGATCATAAAGAGACCAAGATCGACTCGTCGTAGTTATCTTCGTATTCGGCTGGGCCAAGCAAGGCGAAGACGCACAGTAAACACTCGAAAGAATATATATATATATATATATATATATATATATATATATATATTGATGCATGTTTCATTAAATAATATAGATAAGTTTTGTCTATTTATTTTAAGTAAGTTCCTTTCATATTGTCTGATAAGCTTAATAACATTTTTATTGAAAGCCGAAAGGAAATCACCATATTGATATATGTTTTAATCCTATCTAAGGTTTCGGCTTACATAAGCCATTATCAAAGATGAAAATTACATTTCAATATATAAACAATACACGGACAAAACGATAATGAGAGTCTGTTTTAGTTCCATGAAAAATTTCAAAGCAACGATAAACTCGTGTATACGAGACGCGGAAGCGAAAATCGCATCGCAGCTCGTGACGTCACACATGACCAGACGAGAGTGAAAACGAGAAGTATTAAGTATCGGAAGCCGTTGGTATAAACCAATGGCTTCTGTTATGGGCATTTAAGATATTTGTGGAGATTTCATAGTTTATTTTGTTCAAGTTAGGTTTCAACTGTTTTATGTATACAGCTTCAAGAATTTTTAGTTTTCGTTTAAAAAAAATTGGTGCCTAAAAACACACAATATATATATATATATATATATATATATATACTATTTTTATATCAAGTACTGTGTGCAATGGTTGGTTAATAGTTGTTAGGGTCTAGGTGTTAGTATGCAGGTGTTTGTCGACCCAACTCCTTTCCTAAATTGGACGCGACACTTGGTTAAGCTGGTAAGCTTTGACTTGCGGACTTAGTAAAGTTTGTTTAGCTGACTTGGTAAGTTTGGCTCAAGGCTGATGTCGGGGAGTTCGGGTTTGCAGGTATTCACGTGCCTTGTCTCGCGTTCGACGACTGAAATGGACTCTCTGGGCGATCTCTCGAATTCACTTGAAGCATTCGTATTTATTGATATCTGCCAAAAACTTGTGTGGTGGTGTGACGCAGTTGGGGAATTCGATATTTTTTCCACCTGTCATCTTCATCGTTTTTGGTCCTAAGAAATTCATTATTTTTCAATTTGGAAGTCTTCTCCTTTTCATCTTCCTCCTCTTCTTAGCATCTCCCACTAATACTCCTCAGTGGGTGTGGGCAGCTCCTTCACTCTCGTTGGTGTCTCATCTGTGCCTGCTACCCTTCAATGGGTGCAGGCAGCTCCTTCTCCTTCTTTGATCTCTCTTTTGTGCCTGTTACCTCAACCACCCAGCGAAGGCTAATTTTTTTTTTAAATTATTGTTCCAAATGCTATCCCCTCATAAATGAACTGATACTAGTTTTGACTTTTTTTCTGGTCTGAAAGTTGAAAAAACAATTGGCCTTCTTCCCCTCGTCCCAGAGACACTTTCCTCAGGGGAAATTTTGCAGCTTACATTATGGTGACAATCATTCGGCAGAATGTCAAGATATCGCCGTGTGTTTTTATTTTTTTTAAATTAAGTCAGGTAGTTATTGTTTTCAATTCTGACACCTCTGAAGAGAGATTCGCCAAGTCAGTTTTATATTTCCTTCCCGTCCGAAATCAGACACCTAGCTCTCATGTCATTCGGCTCCCGTCAGAAACATTCCTTAAGTAACCTTTTTACCTCTAACTGGTATTTAAAATTTTATCCGATTCTCCTCATCTTGATTCCACGGGCACGCTCATGACGGGCGTTATCAGCCAATTGTCAACACCTCGCCCGTCGTACAAATTAAGTATTGATCTTAGCCGGCCATTTGATTCGATTTAGAATTTTCGATTCTCTGGGAACGAATTGTTTATTAGTATATCGTTCTTGATATTCATTAACTCTTTTCATGGTAGGTTTTTTTTATAAGTCTATCGTTTTTGGATATACAAAAGCCCTTATTATTATTTACCAGCAACCAAAATAGTGTTACACTAATCTAGATGGTGATTATTTATTATTTTTTTCTTCATTACTAACTCGAAACCAGTCAATTTATGGACTTTCTTTGAATCCCACCCCCAAATTGTATAAACCTCTCCATGGTTCAGAGGTTACAATAAACAACATCACACAACAGACAGTAAAAAAATAAACTGGATGAGACACTAACACCAAAATAAATTTCAAAATCAATTGCGTCCTGGGTAAGACGATAAACCACATCCACGTCCTGGGTAAGGTGATAAATTACATCTCGCGTCCTGATTAAGACGATAAACTACATCCGCGTCCTGGGTAAGATGATAAATTACATCCCGCGTCCTGATTAAGACGATAAACTACGTCCGCGTCGTTGGTAAGACGATAAACTACATCCACGTCCTTAGTAAGACGATAAACTACATCCAACACCAAGGCATCTTATCAGGAGGTTTTGAGGAGCGTGGAACCACCTCTTAATTGCTTGTGTTCCTAGATCCACCCCGATCCGGGATGGTAACACCTGTTAGGCTCCCAGCTATGGGCAAATAGTTAACCTGGGGTCAAAACACTGTGAAAGTGTAGAAATAGTTTTTAATACCAGCAATATATTTTTGTAAAAAATTATTATCAGCAATGAATTTTTTAAAAAATTATTACCAGCAATACATTATTACCAGCAATTTCATTTTTGGAAAAAATATTACCAGCAAGACAATTTTGAAAAAAAATATATTACCAGCAAAAAAATCTTGTTGGCATTAAATAACCCATTGAGGTTGATATACCGTAAAACAAAACAAAGCAAACAAACAAACAAACAAAAGCAATTGATCAGCTGAAATATTGACTGGTAAATGGTGGTCATGCTCTATATACCACACTCCATTTTCTTTTCTGTTGCTGCTGCTTACAATCACAACAAGTTGAAACACCGGTTCCCGTATGTTAACCGCAGTTAAGCAACATCAAGCCTGATAAGTATCTAGATGGGTCACCGCTTGAGAATATTAGGTGTTGTAAGCTTGGATGTGCAGGTGGTGTAATGAATAATGACTCGGAATTTTTAATCGGAGAGCCGAGTTTCAATTCCTGTAGTGTTCGTTATATTCACTTACGCACAAATAACCTTGAGAAAAGGTATGAATCTACTTCTTCTTCTCCAACAGCTATGGGTTAATTAGTAATACGTGTATCACTAAACCATTACTATTCCCTTTCCAAAACATATTCTTACAATCTAAATACATATTTCTGGCTTTAAAGACGTAGAAATCAAAAAATCAATCAAAAACTTTCTGCTGTTGACTTCAAAGGTTATGTTGCCGTAACCCCTAACAAAAATAAAAGAAGAAATTATGACTGTACAAATGAGCGGAATATTCATTTTCAAAGGCAGTCAAAATTCTCACAAGAATTCTACTGAACAAACTAATATCAGCTGTTGCCACAGATCATCTCCCTGAGGGATAAAGTTAATTGATATGACTTTTGCCTTAAGATAGATTTAGGAAAAATGTCCAAAACAAAACAAAAGGCAGTACAAAGTTGATCGACGCTGTTAGCAAGTAAAAATTTTAATTCTGCCCATTAATGATTCCTGTTTATCCAATTCCACGAAGCGCAATTGGATTAAATTAGTTATAATAACGATTTTTAAAATCCTTCTCTAGCTGCTTAAAGTGTAAATTGAGTTCTTGCTTCCAAATTATTTTCAATATTCTTTAACATAACGTTGAAACAGGCTACAGAGGAGAATGATGTTGAATATAAGATGTTCATCTACAAACGACAAATGGTATTCTGTTCAATTTGAAATGACTTGAAACCAACACGAAGACTAGATCAAAGCTGATCAAAGGGCTTCTATTTACAGAGCAATAATGCCCAGAGATAGGCCCATCAAAATATGACGATTCCAATTTGCTAACTTCTTGAGCTGGAACTAAATCTCATGCAAAAGTGATCCTCCTTCAGCCTGTACCTCGATAGGTGTACTACCTACCTCTCGGCTCTATTGCCTCGATTGCATTAAAACAATACAAAATTATATCGACCTGGGATATTTCATATCTTCTAATGTCAAGAGAGACAATGAAAGAAACAACAGACTAAATAAATTCGAACCAAGACTTCGGTGGAATAAATGCATTTATGTAGACCATATTGCTCAAGAAAGATACGAATTTAAATATTCTATGAAGCTTTATGGTGTCGAATCATGGTTCACCTAGCAGCGCCATCTTCGTCCATTTCAACGTTTCTTTCAGAATTGCCTTTGCACTAATTTAATTGTGCACTGGAGTGATATCGTTACAAAAACTGAAGTCATCAAGTTCCAGTACCTCCAGTATTAGTATCTGTCTGTATGTCTGAGATGAGTATTATGTACACTATTTACATTATTCGGACTATTAACCACGTCTTTGTCGCCATATTTATTACAACGTTTCGGCCTTTCAGTATCTGTCTATATTTCTGAGATGAGGTATTATGTACACTATTTACATTATTCGTATTATTGTCCACGTCTTTGTCGCCATATTTATTACAACGTTTTGGCCGTTGTACGCTCCGGCCTTCCTCAGGTGGTTGGAATGTCTAACTGAACCCTTTATTTCGCTCACTGGGGTAGACTGTTCTAGTTCCACGTGCCGTGTTTAATGGATGTCAGTTATGAGTTATCTCCTGTTAATTCCCCTCTCCAATTTCTCCACTGCCTTAACCAGGTATTGAACTCACAACTCTGTCACTGCATCTAACTAACGCCTTTATCCACTTGGTACAGTGGATAAAGGCGTTAGTTAGATCCAGTGACAGGACCCAATGAGTATGAGTTCAATACCCGGCTAAGGCAGTGGAGAACTTGGAGAGGGGAATTAGCAGGAGATAACTCATAACTGACATCCATTAAACATGGCACGTAGAATTGGAACAGTCTACCCCATTGAGCGAAATAAAGGGTTCAGTTAGACATTCCAACCACCTGAAGAAGGCCGGAGTGTACAACAGCCGAAACGTTATAATAAATATGGCGACAAAGATGAGGACAATAGTCTGAATAATGTAAATAGTGTACCTCCAGTAGTAATTCAAAATTTAAGGTACATCTACATTGTGTAAGCCATATGTCGAAAAGAGAAAGCGACTATCGACTATTGGTTCATTGTCAGGCGGAACAGAAGTTCGCATTGGAAGAGATTCCAGTACTTTCGAAAATAGACCCTCATTTCTTGTAGCATCGACCATTGCTATTTAGGCAACAGAACAGGTAGTTAAGACTTCCTTTTAAAAAAAAACTTCTTAGCTAGTGTTGAGGAAAAACTGAGGCATGGTAAAACTAGAGTTAACTCTATCTGCCAGACCTTCAGCGGCAATTGTTGTGGCGGAACAAACACATTTCATATCGGCTTCATCAGCTGTCACTTTGCGTGAAACAGACGTGAAACGACTTTCTAAGTCTTTGTTCGTGAAGCCACGCCATGATGGCCTTGTCTAGACTTGTGTTTAATGTTTTCAACGTCTGCATATAGTTAAAACAACAACGATAAGGTTAATATTCCAAATAATTCCTGAAATAATGATAGTACGTTATCTGAAAACTTCAGGTAACACTAGGAAGGCAGCAGACATAAAGTAGTTATGTCAATTACAAAGATAAGCTCGAGTAAGTCAGAGAATAAGGCTTACTATTATGTCAATATGTTACGGTGGAGTAATGGATAGCAGCTCGGATTGAAAGATCGGAGAGCCGAGTTCGAATTCCAGTCGAATCCATTAAATTCACTTACGTGCTAATGCCCCTGGGAAAGGTATTAATCCTCTTCTTCCACTGCTATGGATGGCAACTGGTCTATTTCAGTAAGAAATAGCAACCTACTGTCTAAACGTGTATTACGCATGGCACATAACTGACTGAAATGCATCACCCAGGGGATTTTGTATAGTCCGTTCGATTGTAAGTCTATTAAATAAGTATAATAGCTGACCTCACAGTAGTTTACAAAATTAGTTCCGTAGTGAATTCGATCCCTACAGGATGCTCCACATTTCTGACCATGTATCAGATTAGGCAACGATTCGTAAATAGCTTTCTTTCCGAGTTTCACCTTTTAAAACATAGAAACTACTATCACGATGTACAGCAATATTTATAAAGATTGTTTCACTGATCACGATTACGGTAGTGGGTTCAGTCCTTATTGAGTGCCTCGCAATTGTGATCTTGTGCCAGACTAAAACATCCTGATTAAGACGATAAACTACGTCCAACAGCAAGACTTCTGATCAGGAGGTTTTGAGGAGCATGGAACCACTTCTTAATTGCTGGTGTTCTCAGGACCACTCTGACATGGGGTGGTAGCACCTGTTAGGGTCCCAGCTATGGGCAAATAGTTAACCCCGAAACTGGGGTCAAAACACCGTGAAAGTGTAAAAATAGGTTTTAATACCAGAATACTTTTAAAAATTATTACCAGCAATACATTTTTGAAAATAAAAATATTACCAACAATATGTTTTTAAAAAATAAATATTACGAGCAATACATTTTTTAAATATATTACCAGCAATACATTTTTGAAGGAAAAATATTACCAGAAATAGAATTTTGACAAAAGAAAATATTACTAGCAATAAAAATGTTGTCGGCATTAAATAACCCATTGAGGTTGATATGCTGTAAAACACACCTAACCAAACTATCGCTATGAATGTATTTCAAAATTTTATTAGCATTAAATGACCTACTGAGGTTGATATGCCATAAAATAAAACAACCAACCAACCAGACTAAACTGAGCTTAGTAAATATCGCATAACCTCACCAAACCTCGTTTCATAGTCCATTACTACATTTGTGGAGTAGATCCATACAAGGCGCTCCATATTTGTGGTCTCGTACCGCATCGTTAATATCAACAATCTGTGCCATTAAATGTAAATAACCAACACAAAATAAAATCTTAATTTATTCTCTAGGAATAACAAATATTATTAGAAATCTAAATGGCGCACCCGTTATTACATGATAATTCTTTTCTATTTGTGTGATTATTAAACGTGTTAATAATGGAAGCCAAATAAAGATGTAATTTTATCAAATCGAAAATATAACGGAAGTTTTAACGAATGCTTTCATTTATTTTTTCCTGCTTCTTTTTTTTTTTTTTTTTTCTTTTTTTGCTTTCAATTTATTCATGGTTTATTTATAAAAATTACTTTGCAAGCAAACTGTTTAAAACGCATCTGAATGTTTAATTTTGTATCTGTCATTACAAGTCTTCTAGCTACGTCGCTTCTATGCAGAAACTCGCTTTCATCTGCTTATTGAATTTTACAAATGTCGAATTTAGTCAATATTGTATAAAGATAACTAATGAGCAGCTTCCTGCGATCGAAAACAAAGTCTCTATTTTTAAATAATCTGTTTGTTATTTTTGACATGTCTGGAACAAGGCTATAAAACCTTGGAACAACAGCGCTATTCTTTACTTGTTCATTTTTTTTTTTATAAAAAAGTGCCTGTCCTTTTTAGACGGATACACATTTAAGTAAAAATTTAGTGTTCAGTTCTCTTAAAATAAAAACAAAACTAAATTCAATAAAATAATATCTAAAATAGAAAGCTCTCTAAACAACGCTAACGACTTCAAAATGGCAGCATTCCTCTTATATTTAGAGACACGAGAAAATATTAATTTCTGTTTCCATGGTAAAAAGACTGTTTCACTTGTTGTAAGGGGTTTAACAATGTCGGTGTTAAAATCACTTCGAAGAATATAATTTTGGATTAACAATATTTTGTTAAGAATAAAGATAGAGTGACCGATTCTGGTAATAAATAAATGTTGATTTTTATCATCCTCGAAATATGACCCCGATTATTAAAATAAATCTAATTTGCTAAAAAAATATATTTATAAATAAAAAATGCATTTCCAGATTTACTTTTGTATAAATTATTTAATATCATTAACATATTTGAATCTTCTTTAGATTGGGAGTTTGTTGTAGCGAGTAAAT